TTTATTCAACCAAAATGATCTGAAAATTATTTACAGACTTTGGTAAAAGGGATGGGAACCCTACGTCCATGCTTAACATTAACATAAAAATCACTTCAGCATCGGTACCCTTCATCTCGTTCACACAGACCTCTGCTTTTTCTCTCATTACAGTTGTTTATTTTCTTCCACACATATTGCTATTTTCTCTGATACCACACAATTGTTTCCTCTCATACCAAATCTTTGCTTTCTTCTTTGCCAGACATATGTTTACAACCATACCTGTGAAGTCTCCAAAAAACCGCCGGCACACAAGCCTAAGAAGTGGTCTGATGTTCAGCTTTTGTTCCTCCTTAGACAAGTGAATGCCCAGCTCATCACACACCCTTGTGAGACTCTCATCAACATCTCCTACAATCTGAAGAACAAAAAGGATTACACAAGTATATTACAAACATGCAGCATTTAGAATCTAGCCAGAAAAAGAAATATCAAAAGGATAGTGGTAGGGAAAAAGAAAAATGAGATGAGAAAGAAACACCTCTAAAGACGCTTTTCGAGCTTTCATTTTGAATTTAGCACGTGTATCTTGAAAAAGGGTCATCCCCGAAACTGACAGTACATTTATTGAAACAAAAATGAAAACTCCTAATGGCCCACACAGTAGACAGAAATTTCTTACTTTATCTCTGAGACAAGTACCTTGGTTTATCAATGTAAAAATGTGTTCATCACTGTGATTACAAACACAAAAATTCTGTTGTATTTGAATGGGTAAATACCTTTTCAACCCTTTAAAAAATACTGTGTGCCGCAGTAGTTCGGGTCCAGAAGTTACGTTAAAAAAAGAAAAGCCAACTTTGTATATGAAACTTACTAAAAATTTCACCTACCTGTGAGAATATTTTGTACAGAGGTTCCAGGATGAACTCAACAAAGCTTCTTGGAGAAGATGAAGTGGCAGGCTTCTTGGAAAATTTCCTCCTGAGAGTGATAGAGGCAAACATTAACTGTACTTGGATAAAGTAATAACAAACACATAATAAAATGTCGACCTACATGGATTGTAAACTTTAGCAAGTAGACCTGCATGTGAGCCTCAACCAGATTGTCTGAAAATTTTGCGCAACCCCCCCCCCCCATAACTATAGAGCTTTTAAATTGTGGGTGTCATAAAAGGAAGGATTTCCGAGTAACGAGCGACCACCCGAAAAAACACAATAAAGAAGAGACCTAACCCTAACCCAAACCCTATCGGCCTACTCCTAGGCCTAACCCAAAAAAGAACCTGCAACGGCCCTCATGTAAAAAGGTCAGCACAAGTCAAAAAAAAAAGAAAAAAAAAAAAAGAAATAAGCACACTCCAAAACAAACAAGGAGCATTTATAATAATAAAAATAATATGGCCTACATTGCTATAAACTAAAAAGAGTTTGATACAATTCAATAGAATTGGATAAAGATCTATAAATCCTCCATATAGATCTAGATCTAGTAGAACAAGTGAATAGGAATAGATCTAGAATCTAGACCTTGAACGAGAAATCTGCATCCGATTCCGAAGAGAGGGACTCAGTTGAGTCTAGGGGGCTAGATCTAGATCTAGATCTATATTCTAGATATCTTTATTCTAAGTAAATAATTCACGCACCTGATAAAATGCGTTTTACCAACATTAATATAACAGCACAACCTATAATATGGTTTGACACAATAGAATTGGAATATGAATCCTCCATTGAGGTCCATAATGATCTATATAGATCTAAATCTCGATCTAGATCTAGATCTAGAGTAGAACAAGTGAGTCGGACTTGAAAGAATCCACATGATCTGAACAATCATTAAACAAACGAAATTCAAAATGGCCGCTCGAGCAAGAAACTGAAAGTAGATAATTTAAGCCGTCATACTTTTTCGTATTCGTATTTCTACTCAGGTTCTGACAATTATGTCGGAAACGCCGACGTCGGCGGTGCGCGCGCTGGCGGTCGACACGAAAACGAAAGTGCCGACAAAGCCGACGGGAGAAAAAGGGGTCGCTGGCACACGGCCAGGCCTCGCATTTCGAACATTGACTGACACAGGCGGGCCTAGCAATAGCATCGGCCGGTTCGCGGGTCGGGTCGCGATTGTCGGATTTCAGACGATTGTCGGCAAACATGCAGGTCTAAGCAAGGATGACTGCCACGCCGACTTAAAATTTTTCAAGGGGCCAAATCATTACCTCAGAGGTATAAGACAATGACAGTATCGTGTTCTTAGTATTTGTTCGGCTACCCCTGCTCCAGGTGAGTGTTTCGCGCATACAAGAAGATATGCAGATGTGTAGATGCCATATCAAGGCTGTGCAGTGAGATTAGGAAAATCAAAATCTGTTTTCTCTTCCCCTATCTCCCAGAGTTCTCCAATGCAGCTTGATAATTGTAATAGTTACAACATGTACCTTGTGCAGTATAAACGCAGCAATGTCCTTTTACAAATGCCCAATATTTGATATGCTGCTGTCACTTATGAAAAAAACAAACCCCTGTAGACATCGTTCGAGTTTTGGTTAGTCGGGCCCATCATCAACAAAAACGAAAACTTCCTATTGGCTCACACAGTAGACAGGAATTTCTTACTTTATCTCTGAGACAGAGTTTTCAGCAGCAGCGACTGCTGCATCACCAAAGTAAATTCACATCTGACATTTGAAGTAGTCCAGACCTTTTTGTTGGGGTGTATTTGACACTATCAAATGCGGGGCACATATAATTGCAGCTTGTTTGTGCAAAAAAGCTGAAAAAATACTATGAACACCTCTCAGGAAGAAGTGAACTTACTGGCCTTTTTGGTTTTCTAAATTTGAGAACAAAAATTTTTTGGTTTTTTTTTCTCAAATCAATTTACAGATTTCTTCAAATTCCCAACAATCTTACTTAAACTGCATGTGCCTGGCAGTCACCCCTTTAGCTCTGTTTTGATAGAATAATAACAAACACAGGAATTATTTATCCATGCATTAACATGATTCGTAAGCTATAACTTCATTTTGATAAAATAAAGATATACATATAGAAAGATATGCATTCATCAATCTTCAAGGCAGCCAAACAATTTTCCACGTAAATAATAAGGTTCCATTTTCATTTAGTCATATCACTATGATATATGCATAACATAAACTTTAATTCCATTTTAAGTTGATAAATTAAAAGCACACAGTAAAATATTCATCTACTAATCTTTCGAGATAGCCAAACAGGCCGAGAAATACATTAAACTTACATGTCTTTTTTGGTATCACTACTACAAGCATAAAATTACGAAAGTTAAACGAAAATTAGACAGAAAAAAAAATACAAGTTCCATATTCAAAACAATAACAACTCTCATAAAGCAATTGTTTATTTGAAGAATAAAATCTGCCCCATTTTAGAAAAATACATGCTCATTACTCCTGAAGCATGAAATATTTGACACACCCCCCCATGATCTTGCTATAATGCTTGAACAACAGTGTCACCAAAACAAGTTTAAAATGCTTACGTCTTGCTGTTGAAATAAATGTCTCCCCACAGGCGTCTTGCAAATTCCTTTTCATTGATCCCCTCTGAAAAAAATCCAACAAATTCAGCTTTCAACATTGCTTCATTGATATCTGTGTTGTAGAAAACACCTTTCAGTGTTGATGTGGGCATGTGGTAGGACAGGAGAGAGAGAGAGAAAGAGAGAAGGAAAGGGAAAGCGAAAAGGAGGAATGGGGTGGGGGGGTGGGG